AAATTCTTTACCATTATCTGATTGGAGTATTGTAGGAGAAGAGCCAATTGAATGGAAAAGTTCAAATAAATATGCTGTTACTTCAACAGCTCTTTTGGATGTAATAGCTTTTGCCCAGGAACATCTTGAAAAATGGTCACATATATGACAAATATATTTAAATTCTCTATCAGGAGCATAAAACATATCAATTAAATCCATCTATAAATAAAAATTACATTAATTATAATTTTTTTTTAAAAAAAAATTAAAGCAAATTTATCTGAATGCGTGAAAAAAATTTTTTTGAAATAATTGGCTTTGCAGCCAAAGGATGAAAGGAAGCTTTTCTTGTAACACAAATGGTACAATTATTCACAAACTTTTCAATTATATCTTGCTTTAACCAACCCCAATTTTCTTTCATAGATAACCAAAGCTGCTTTTGTCCTGCATGTTGGTTCATTTCAGCATGGGTTCTACATAGCATTTCATACATACTTTCAACTACAAAAACCGGTTTGCTATTTGCTTTGACCATTATTCTATATTCTCTAGGAATAGTTTCTTCAAGGTAAAATCTTTTTTTAGCTATTCTTGAGTGTTTTTATCACAAATATGAACATCTTTAGGGTTTAATAATACTGCCTTTATTATATCCAAAAGCTTTAAATTTACTAAAGCTTTATGCCTTTTGCAACTCGGCAAATTATTAAAGTAGGTATTTACTAAATTATTGAAAGTTTCTATACTGATAAAAGTATATTCTATTGTTCTAAAAAAAAATTCAGAATGCAGATAATTATTGACACGTTAGTATATGCAACGCGGAATTCAGATATAATATTTTAACGCGATAATTTTAATGCGTCAGGTGACAACTAACGTGCCTCATATTTCAATCGACAGGTTACGCACGTCAGATGCCAATTGATAAATGAGATGCGTCATCTGTCATCTGACGCAAAATGATAGATGACGCACAACATATATATATATACAAACAATTTTCTTATTTTGCCTTTTTTAATTATTTTTTTATCTTATTATATAAATTTTGCGAACATTTATTATTATTTTTATTATTATTTAATATATATTGCGAACATTTAATTATTTTTTATTTTTATATTGCGAATAATAAATTTAATTACTAATAAAAATAATTTCTGATAA